ACAGAACAACTTTTTTGTTTCAATATATTGTTGAAGACATTTAAAATGCCAAATTAATGTAATGCCAGCAATCCACATAACTCAACTGAAGTGACCACAATAAGAAGAACCATGATAAAGTTCAAGCCCATACACACACTAGCGAATACATCATTGTTATTACCCGGCTATAACAATTTTAAAGGAGTTCTGGTAGTGCCTAAGGCACCTGACTGCTAACCAGAAGGCTGGCGGTTCAAACCCACCAGCCACTCCTTGGAAGGAAGCAATCTACTTCCATAGTGATACAGCCTTGGCAACCCAAGGAGGGGTAGCTATGAGTTGGGGCCAACTTGACGGCACATAACAACAACAACAACAACAACATAACAATTTTAAAGGAGTTCTGGTGGCACAGAGCCTAAGGGATTTGACTACTAACCAGAAGGTTGGCGGTTCAAACCCACCAGCTGCTCCACAGAAGGAAGATAGGGCAATCTACTTCCATAAAGATTTACCACCTTGTAAACCCAGTAGGGGCTGCTATGAGTCAGAATCAACTTGATGGCAGGAAGTTGTTTTTTTTTTTTTATATAGCAATTTTAAGATACTATTAATTATAAGACACATCATAATTTCAAATATTAAAATAAAATTTTATAAAAAGAACATCTTAGAATCAACAAAATGAATGAGATTTACTCACTTATTTAATAAAGGCCTTGTAGTAGGCCCTTATAGAGCCCTGGTGGAGCAATGGTTGAGTGCTCAGCTGCTAAGTGAAAGACTGGCAGTTTAAGCCCACTACAGACTCTGTGGAAGAAAAGACCTGGTGATCTGCTCCCATCAAGATTTCAGCCTAGGAAACCCTATGGGCCAGTTCTACTCTGTCATATAGGGTCACTATGAGTTGGAATCAACTGGATGGCACAAAACAAGGTCCTTGGTAGGAGGTTTTTGAAAAGTGAGTAACACAAATTCACTTCTGAAGATGTTTTATGAGTAATAACAGGAAAGACAAAGGTAGTCAAATAACTGTTATACAAGATGGCATTCACTTAGATAAACAGCTTTGGGAATTCACAGAGAAAGGTGAGATTACTTCCTGCTAGTTGTTGCTGTTAGATGAGGTTGAGTCAGCCCTCGACTCACTCATTGCTACCCCAGACACTATGGAATGAAAATGGTGAGTGAGAAGAATAAGATAAGATAAAGGTTAGAGGAAGGGCTGAAAGAAAAGAGGTGTCCATGAGCAAACCATGTCTTGGAGGAGGTAAATGAATTATTCTTAAGAAATAATATGTGTTTAGCACATTATCAATTTCACTATCGAGAAGATTCTTAAGAAATAAATCTTTCTCTTACAATTAACAGGAAAAAAGAAGTCAGAAATTAAAAGAAACTTTAAATGGAAAGGAAGGCAATGAAAACAAGGTTTTATCAGCAGGCCTCAGTAACCGGGAGACTTCACAGCTATCTCTTGCCTCATATCTCAGCTTTGGTTACTGCCTGATATATGTCGTTTATGTGCAAAACAGTCAGAGATTTTTTACTATTGTCACAAATGCCAAGTGTCAGATAACACGATAGTGAGGAGTAGGTGTGATACTGATACATGCTACAACATGGATGAACCTTCGAAATAATATAAGTCAAAGAAGCCAGTCATACAAGATAATTTATTGTATGATTCTATTTATATAAAATGCCCAGAATAGGCAAATGTATAGAGACAGAAAGTAAGATTAGTGGTTGCCAAGGGTACGTAAAGTTAGGAGGAAGTGAGGAATGACTGCTAAGGAGTACAGGGTTTCTTTTTGAGGTGATAAAAATTTTCTAAAATTGATTGTTGTGATGGTTACACAACTCTGTAAATATACTAAAAAACACTGAATTGCACTTAAATGGATGGATTGTATGGTATGTGAATTATATCTCAATAAAGCTGTTAAGAATTTGCAATTATTATCAGGCAATTCCACTGAACCATGGGTGTGTGTGTTTGTACAGGTTTGTACAAAAATATATACATACATACCTACGTGGCAATGAATATAACAGCTTACATTTAAAAATGTTTTCTTCCTTTAAATATTTTCATCACTGGTATACTCCAGCATCTAGAATAGTTCCTGGTACATAAATATAATTGTTGAATGGATGAGTGCAGTGCTAGATCCTATTATGGACAGAGAGGAAGGGCCAATCTAGCATCGCTATGCCTATTTTGAATTGCTAATAAAATTTCCATCTCAAAATGTTTCATAAAGAAGAACTTAAAGGACCTTTACCAAGAGAAAATCATTACAGATGGACAGAGAAACTGTCTGACATTACTCAGGAGCTTGGTCAGTAGAAAAGTAAAGGACCAATCCCCTAAGGAATTATATGTAAGAATTAGGAGATGCCAAAGTGGCAACAGCAACAGCAGGTGACTGGGGATAAGCTTAAAGGCACGTAACTCTCTTGCAGAGTGAAGAGTTACAATAACGAAAATTTGGGCTAAATTGATCCAAGAAGGTTTACTCCATTTTCCCCTCAGTCATACTTCCTATACCCTTTCTATTAAGCCCTCAGACTGTCTACTGTTTATTCTATTTCCTGTGTCAAGGTATACCTAAAAGCAATGCCACCTTCCTTTTTAATAATCCTCTCACAGTTCAGTGATGCAATGGTCTGAACCCAAGACGTCCACCGAACTCATATTATTTACCATCCTCCAAGCACCAGATAAATAAATTGAATCATGCCTGTCATGTATTCTCCCTTTCAGTTTCCTCCAGTCCCCCTCCAAGCTCACCAAAATTTCCCATTTCACCCTGGCATACTGAAACATCCAGGCATCCCATGATTACAGTAAAAACTAACCCCCACATCCCTTGACTCTGATTTTCTTCCATTTGCACCCTTGTAGTCCTAAAAGAGCTTTGGTGGCACAGCGGCTAAAGCACTCAACTGCAGACCAAAAGGTTGGTGATTTGCACCCACCAACTGCTCCATGGGAGAAAGATGTGGCAGTCTGCTTCCATAGAGATTACAGCCTTAGAAACCTATGAGACCGTGCTACTCTGTCCTATAGGTCACTATGGGTCAGAATCAACTCAACAGCAGTGGACTTTTAGTTTTGGCATTCCTAGAAGACTTGTGTTTAAAAATAAATACTGCCCATTGGTCTTGAAGAAATGGCCTAGTCTAGAATGACTATGCAGCAGGACCATACTCCAGGAGAAAATTCAGGACACCAAGTGTGTTCCCCTCACACAACCTGAAATATAGCATGCTTTTGACTTTGAAAACCTGGATAGGGAGGGAAATTATCCCTTCCTAGTACTTGATTCTGAACGATTTGAAACTATTTCCCAAGACCCTAGGAAAGGGCTCTGGGTATACTCCTCTTATAAAAAAATGGCTTATTGATTTATGTTTCAGATTAGACATACTCTATCATGCTAGGGCACTTTTAGCAAAAATTTTTAAGTTAACAAATACTGAAGATTAAATAATTTCTAAGACATATTCACATTCACATACTATTGGTATACCATTTAAAATTGGTAAAATTCATTCAGAAGCAAGTGACAATACCTACCAGGGTCAAAATGACATTAAAGTTAAGGAATAATTATATTATTTATATATAATTTTAAATTATATTATTTATATAATTTACATATAATTATATATAATTATGGGAGCTCTGGTAGTGTAGTACCTAAGGCATTTGACTGCTATCCAGAAGGCTGGCGGTTGAAACCCACCAGCCACTCCTCGGAAGGAAGACTGGGCAATCTACTTCCGTAGAGATATCGCCCCGGAAAACCAAGGAGGAGTCACTATGAGTCAAATGGACTTGACGGCAGTGAGTCTGGTTTCAATATATAATTACAGGGAGCTCTCGTGGCACAGTGCCTAAGGCATTTGACTGCTAACCAGAAGGCTGGTGGTTTACCAGCCTCTCTGTGGAAGGAAAACAGGGCAATCTACTTCTGTAAAGATTTACCACCTCAGAAACCCAGAGGGGGTCACTATGAGTTGGAATTGACTCGATGGCAGTCTGTTTGGTATATACATTATTTTAATAAAAATAAGACATTAAAGCTAAAGAAAGAGAAGCAAAAGGCTACATGCGGGAAAAACTTCACCAAAGCATGAAGCACATAAGCAGAACGCTTGGAAAATACAGATATCTAACGAAAAGTGAAGGGTCTGGTTAATTATGGTACAGAAACACAAGAGAAGACTATACCATTAAAAATAATAGAAAAATGAGGTAGAAACATGACTAATATTTGTGATCTAAAATGAAACAAAAGAACATAAAGTAGCAGAGAGATACAGACGGATCATGATTTAACTATGTAATTGTCACATCTTTCAAAAATATGTTTTTAAAAATCCTTTGGAAAAAACATTTCAACCCAAAATCTCTAATTTTTAAAGCTTCCCCTTCTACTTGTTGTTCTTGTTGTTGTTTGCCATCGAGTCGGCCCGACTCCTAGCGACCCCTCCTTGGGTTTCCGAGGCAGTTATCACTACGGAAGTAGGATTGCCCAACCTTCCTTCCGAGGAGTGGCTGGTGGGTTTGAACCGCCAGCCTCCTGGTTAGCAGTCAAGTGCCTTAGGCACTATGCTACCAGAGCTCCCTCCCCTTCTACTAGGCTCAGATAAATTTCTCTATTTTTCTTTACTCTCCTATGTAATATCTTTCTAGTCATTTTTACTTCCCAGTGTGGAAATAATTATTATCTCCTTCACTCATTGTCTTGACAAAAATTTCACTGCCAATCATTTACAGGAATGATGCCTATAAAAAAGCCAAAGAGGAGAAAGTAAAGCCACTTTGTGGTCACTGTACATACCCTCTATATCCTGCCCTATCACTGGGTGACACAGCAGTAAAAGGAGACTGGGGAACTCTATCATGCTTCAAAGTTTTTTCTAGTTATTTTTGCTTATCTAACTTAGAATGCATAAGAAATAGATAAGAGATGTAAAACAACCTACTACTATAGGTCACTTACCTATTGCATGAATCTGATTCTACCAGAGAAGAAGCATCTTCTTGGATGTCTGTACAACTAGAAGAATCATCTGCTCTATAAGGCTCCAAATTCCTTGGGCAATCTGGTTCTGACTGAGGGACATGGTTTGTTACCGAGGTCATGTCTAAGAGCTTCATTTCATTACCTTTCTGTCCTAAAAAGGAAAAAAGGAGTGAAATAAATAAAAGAAACAGTTCAATAGCACCTTAAAACTTACAACCTCTTTATGTCTATTATGTCTACGATATTTGATACTGCTATCTGTACTCTGTGAAAAAGAAGTATGGTGCAATGAATTACTTGGTATGGCTTTTCTAATCATAGTCTTAGAAGCCCTGGTAGCATAGTGCCTAAGGCACTTAACTGCTAACCAGGAGGCTGGAGGTTCAAACCCACCAGCCACTCCTCGCAAGAAGTTTGGGCAATCTACTTCTGTAATGATACGGCCTCAGAAACCCAAGGAGGGGTCACTATGAGTCAGGCCCAACTTGAAAGCAGGTAACAACAAACCATAGTCTTTGTAACTCCCACCGGATTACTGGGTGGGACTATGCAAATAAGGTGTGTAGAACTCTGATGCTGGAATTTGTTAGTTTCGTCACTCTGCCAGGCTTAAAATGAGCCTTCCTAGAGGCAGACAGGGGGATCTCACTGCCATCAAGAGAGAAGAGCTGGAGGTGAAGTAGAATGTATCCTTAGACCCGAGATTCTTGTGCTGGACCTCCTTGGCAGAGATGCCCTGGCAGAGAGATGCCCCAACAGAGAGACATCTCAGCAGAGAGATGCCACTAGTGGAACCAAGAGGCACAAGACAGAGCGGTGGGTTTACCTGGCCCACAGAGCAAGAAAACTGAGTGCCTCTGGACAGGAATCTTGCTGGCAGAGTGGGGTGCACCTAGGTGTGCCTATTGGCAGAGCTAAAACAGCTTTGTGACATTTGCCAAAGCAGGGCAGAGGCCAGGTCTGGAGGCCAAAGGCCAGAGAGGTATGCCCGAGGGCACAGCAGGGGGGAGACTGTCCTGACAGAATTGTATTCTGAGCGTGTTCCTGAACCTGAATTGTAGCCTGGTATTTCCCTAATAAATCCCACAATCACGCGTATTATCTGTGAGTTCTATGTGGCCATTGCAACGAATCATCAAACCCAGCAGAGAAGAAGTGCTGTGGGAGGGACGGTTGGTCTCAGAATTGGTAAAAAAACCTGGAGGGTGGCGCTATGTCTGGCATCACAGGAATAAGCCTTGGGCTGCTGATGGTGATTGTGTCTTCCTCTTGTGAAGTTAGAGGAGGTCAGAAGACACCCGCCTCCATGCCCTTTTTGCAAGAAGCATATGTAAAATTGACTAGAAAACTCTAGTGACAGGTAGAGAATAAAAACCAAAACTATAATGACAATACCTATTAAACTGTCCATCCCATGTTCTTCCAAGATTAATTAATTTTAAAACAAAATTTCCTTGAAAACCAGGAGTAGGGAGAACCTTGTAATTCTAATGAAGCATCTATTTATAATATTACTAAGAATTCTTACATGTTTCATTAATTAGAAAATACTGATAAACAATAAAAAGCAAGATGAAGAAAGATTAAAGATGACTCTTTTAATTAATAAGACAACCACAACATTGGTCACTGACTACTGCATAATAGAGAATCTATCTGGACATTGTTCTAAATTTGTTAAAAAGAATCTATTTATGTACCACAAAAAAGGAAAACTAACCAGATACATTAAGTATTTACTATTACTACTATACATCATATTTCTATGCACCTTTTGTCATATTCTCAATTTTTGAGATCTCTTATTGCAGATAAAATCTCTTATTGCAGATCCAGGAAGGGTAGAGGGATGCAGTTACAGTGTTTGCAAGAATATGACCTGCAGGTATGGCTAAGTGCAAGTATGCAAACAATATCTATGAAGGATTCTTTACTGTACAGGACTCTCCCTCTCACTACCTATTCAGGATTTTGCTGGGATTGTCATTTGTGCAATCCTTAATATTCAGGAACTAGATAGATACTTAACATATATGGCACTCCCCTTTCAAAAAGCTTTTCTAAATCAATACAGTTATGATTTGTCTAGAAATAGTTGTAAGTTTTTATTTCACTGGGAGAACAGTATACATCACAAGAGTATAATTTCTATAAATAAGCTCCTGAGGTTGCCAGGCTATCAATAAGCCATCATTACCAAAACAAAACTGTACCTTCTAATGCTGATCTGGGAGAGAGAAAAAGGAAGCTAAGCAAAATGACCTTCCAGGATCTCTAGGATCTTCTGTTGCAAACAGACCCCAGGACCATGACAAGAGGATCCAGTTACCCAGTAAACTCAGTGAACCCAGGCAACGGCATCACTCAATGGGCAGGGAGAATCTAATCAAGCACAGAAACTGGGTACAGGAATTCAACTTAAAACAATCTTCTGTTTTTGTGTTTTATCTACATTCTTCTGTTACTTCTTCTCTTATATAAGCTTCAAGAAGATAAATTTCCTCTTGGGGAAAAACATCATTCAACATTCAACAACTAGTGGGTGCCTAAGGCATCTGACTGCTAACCAGAAGTCTGGCAGTTCAAACCCACCAGCCACTCCGGAAGGAAGGTTGGACGATCTGTTCCCGTAGCGATACCACCTTGGAAACCCAATGCGGTATAGTAAATTACCTGGTATGGCTTTTTCAGCCATAAGTCTCTGTAAACTCCGTGTTGGAATTTGCCATGAGCAACGCAGGAGCTCCCGACTGTTAAAGTTACCCACCTGGGGTATTTCTGTTGAGAGTGGCACAAAGCAATGTTCTGAGAAGTTCACTTTCTCCCAGGTGCTTAGAATTCTGATGTTATGATTAGTTAGTTTGGCCGCTCTGCCAGGCTCAAAAGGAGCCCTTCAAGAGGCAGAAGAAGTCTCTCTGACTGCTGGCTAAGAAAGACATGCTGCTGAGAAACATGCGCTGCTGAGAAAGAGATGCCAAGAGACACACATTGCTGGGAGAGTGACTGAAAGAGACTGTTGGCTGAGAGACGGCGGGCTGAGAGAAACTGAGTGTTTTTCCTGAACTTGACTTGTAGCCTGGTGCTTCCCTAATAAACCTCATAATCTATGAGTTCTGTGTGGCCACTGCAGCGAATTATTGGACCCAGCAGAGAGGTGGTTAGTGCTGCAGGAGGAATGGCTGGTGTCAGGGCTGAAGGGAGATGGCATGTCTGGCCTCACAGGGATAGGCCTTGGGCTACTGATGGTGATTCTGTTCTCCTCTTGTGGGGTTAGAGGAGGTCAGAAGATGTGGCCTCCTTGCCTCTTTGGCACCTAAGGAGGGATCACTATGAGTCGAGTCGACTTGATGGCAGTGAGTTTGGTTTTTTCTTTTTTAAAAGCCAGTTACCCTTCATCCTTGCCCTTAGATCTCAGAATGCAGGACTTCAAATAGGCCCAAACTATGAGGCTGAGACACCAGACCTCCCCACAGACATGCAACATGAAAGATTGCATTTTTACTTCAAAGAATATGCCTCTTGAGGACTTCTGGGTGCACTTCAATGAGCAAGTTTATTCTAAAGAGCAAAAATTACACTGGTTGTACGATAGTATATACAACCCACCTTTTCAGTCAATGTCAATCTGTCTGTTCTCCCCTCTCTCACACTTCCCACCCCTCCAGATATGTGCATTCATGGACAGCACTCTACCAGCAGCAATCACCTATGAGCTCCAGAGATTGCAACATGTATGCACATATACACAGGTAACACATAAGCAAGTAACCATATTCAAGAGAGATTCAACCAACATACATAAACGTTCTCCTGGTATTACCTATGAAGCCAGATTTTCTCAGCAGCTTAACAACTTAACTTTCTAGGAATATCTTTTAGCAACTATACGAACAAATTCAAATTGTTCAAAGACCATGAGGTATATAGTGAGGCAGTAATCTACTACACAGAATTTAGGACAAAAAATAAGGAATGATAGTTGTAATTATACTACATGGCAGCTGTTAAACTGTTTTCTCCCCATTATGATTCCAATTTGTTCACTGCCCCAAAACTCTGGCAATAAAAATATAATATTAATCTCAAAATTTTAAATGAGTTAAAATGAATGTGTTGGAAAACCAGATGGATTAGCTTTAGATTTTTTTAAAATTTTATTTATTGTGGTAAAATACATAGAATAAAAAAAAAAAAATCACCCTTTTAGCCACTTTTAAGTGTATAGTTCAGTGACACTAATAACATTCACCATGTTGTAAGCTCTCAATGTTTTAGCAGAACATTCCATCTGCAACAATGACCAGTGCTCCATAACCAAAATAGTTCATCTCTGAACTATTAGATGTCTTAGGATCTCCAGCAATAATTCCAACACTTGGAAAACATTCTCAAGCTTAAACAACTAAGAAACATGACTTATCATTAACCAAAAGGAGGACAGATTTTAGATACTCTTTCTTCAAGGCATTTTCCCAATCACCTTCCCCAGAGTAATAAACTTAGTTTATATTCAATAATTGCTATATGAAGGTTATTTAAAAATACTTTTGTCCATTTCAAATACCTAATAACTTCAAAGTGAGTATCTCTAATTTTATTTTCTTTCATATTATAAGTAAACAGTGAAATTCAGCATATTTCTGTTTTAATGAAAGTCTCTTACCCATGCATACAGATAACTGCTTTTCTGTAGATTCATCTTCTTTTTTCGCTACTTTTTTTTCTGACATTCCAACCATTTTCTTGTATCCTTTTTTAGCCTGATCCACCAGAAGCTGAAATTCATTCTGATGTTTTTTACCTGAAATTCCAAAGATTTTCTCAGTAAAGCAAGGACTATAATGATTACCCATCCACAACTAACAAGCTGAATATCAAGAAGGTGACAGATGTGTTCAAAAATAGTACTCTTACTGCAATTAATTTAAAAGCTGCCCAGCACAAGAATACAAACATGAAAACAATACAGTATTTCTAAAAGTATTCCATTCTCTAGAGAGACTTTTGACAGAGCATGAAAGACACTGCTTCCTTAAGTGTACCATTAGAGAGGCAAGCTGCAAACCCCAAAGACACCATTCTAATTTCCAAGATACAGAAGAGTATTAACATGAAGAATAGTAATTGGGTTATAAAAACAAAGGAAAGTCATTCCAATTCCCCCATTTTTCTTGCCCATTTTGTATTAAAACCCTGTTAACCCTATTTAACATTCTCAGAAATTCTTCCCAATCTATTTTCCTTCCAGATATCATAACAACACTATTCTTAACTCACTATTACTGTAAATAGTAGTAAGTGAATTAATCCTGACTTCAGAGTCACCATTACTGGTTATATATGATTTTATTCAATAAATAACCTGTCAGCTTTACAGCAGGAGCTTTATGGCAACTGTTTGTGATTCTAAACCATCGTTTAAATAGCTGGGGTTGTGTTTCCTTATCTAGCAATCATAAACACATAAGCTATGGTTCAAAATAATGTCATAAATCCTGAAAAATACATTTTAGAAAGAACTATACTGCAGATAGTTAAAACAAAGCTTTGAAACCATTCTCATGTAGCCTACAATGTACTATTTAACCACTTGGTGTCTTCCATTTTCTCTGTAGCAAAATTCTAAGAATAAATGGGTATAGGGGAAAAGCTGTGCTTCAATTAAAAACTATGCATTGACTAGAGTTACCCTTCTAGGATCTGAGTCTTCCAGTGCCTTTGAGCTATGTTACAACTCTGTAAATAGTAGATAACTGACAGCAATGGAAAACAATCCCTGTCTGTAAAATAAACAAACAAAAAAATAAAACCTCACTGCCATCGAGTCAATTCCAACTCATAGCAACTCCCACTGGATTTCCGATGCTGTAAATCTTTATGGAAGCAGATCTTCCTTCTGCAGAGTTGGCTGGTGGGTTTGAATCAGTGACCTTTTGATTAGCAGCCAAATCTTATCCACTATGCCACCAGAGCTCCCTGTCTATACCAAAAAAAACCAAATTCCCTGCTATCGAATCGGATTTGATCCCTCCTTGGGTTTCCAAGGCAGTATCATTACAGACGTAGGTTGCCCATCATTCCTTCCAAGGAGTGGCTGGTAGGTTTGAATGGTCAGCCTTCTGGTTAGCAGTCAGATGTCTTAGGCACTATGCCACCAGAGCTCCTTCTCTATGTTGTTGTTGTTGTTGTTATGTGTCGTTGAGTTGGACCCAACCCATAGCGACCCCTCCTTAGGTTTCCCAGGTAGTATCACTAGGGAAGTAATGGCCCAAAGTCAGATCTGACTCAACGACATTGGGTCCTTGTCTGTAAATGTGCAAAATTCTGTCTGGTAGAAGTTCAACTGACTTCCTTCCCCAATTGTGGAAGAAGCCAGCTTTGTCTGTATTTGCACATTCATTTTAATGTTTCTCATCTATAAATGTGTCTGTTCTTTGGATTCTCCTTTGAACATGTTATAACATCTTACCAGTCTCGTCTCTAATAATAAGTTGAATAAAATCTTTAACACATTTATTTTATATCTGTATGGGAGTATCGATTTTACCTATTTTTGAAAATTATCCTTTAGCATGAGAAAAAAAGAGCACTAAACTACTAAATACAAAAAAGAAGAGAGAAGCTGGATTCCTATATGTGGATATTTATAGGCCCAGGAAATACATTAGCAAAAGAATGTTCCTAGTTCCAATACATTTATGTGTATGGCACATATATGAAAACTCCCAGTTAAACTAATGTATGAGTTATAAAGCTCATGGTAAATTTTAAGTATGAGTCTGGTTAAAATATCTGCAAAAGAAATATAGGCAGCCCATAAAGATTTAGAAACAAGTGATATTCTTATCTAAAAAGATATAAGCTAGATGATTTCTTTCAAGTCCTATTTCACTGTATGCAGTTTAGAGTAATTATCTGGTACTTCTTCAGCTCCATAGAATGAATGAGTTACCACCACCACCACAATACAGTTTCTATTAGCTAAGGGTAACAAGTGCCTAAGGCACTCGACTGCTAACCAGAAGCCTGGCGATTCAAACCCACCAGCCACTCCTCGGAAGGAAGGTTGGGCAATCTACTTCTGTAGTGATACTGCTTCGGAAACCCAAGGAGGGGTCTCTATGAGTCGAGTCCGACTTGATGGCAAATAACAACAACAACAACAAGCTCTGGATATTGATATTATTTAGTGAGACAGATCCAGGCCTTCAGCAGAGCAGACATTTTCCTAATAAGTCACTCCATTGTGTACATGTGGATCGTGAATTCAAGAACTACTCATGAAACTTGTTAAAGCAATCTCATTAACAGTTAAAGATGATTAATGAATTTGTGTTTTGAAGTAATGAAAGCCCATATTTAAAAGAGATTTTCTTTCTCTCTTCTTAACCTCATCACTCTACCAGTAAGCTGGAAACAAAAAGTAAATGGCAGCCACTGCTCTGGCTGTGGCCCAAGTCCAACAATCCCTGCTCAGAAAGTGATCAATGCCAAAAGATTATGACTAATGAAAATTGTTCTCCCCAATCGCTTCACCTCATTTTAGGAGCTCTGCCATCTGGCAAGGAGTACTCTAGACTTTAAAATCTCAGTTCTGCTGGTTATTTGCCCTGAATCCTCTGGAAAGTTTTAAGTGGCTCAGCTAGTTGTAAGACCTGACAAGTAAGTCTAATTCAACCAACTCAAATTCTTTGAGGTTTTCTAATACTTGAATCATATCACCCTTTCTGCATTTCCAAGTGGAAATAACCTAATTTTTTCTAATGCCAAGTCAGGACTTTCACTCCTTGCTCACCTTAACAACTCTTTTTCAGACCACCTTTTACAACCAGAGTGTCTCTGAGTCTGCACAGTGGTATACAAGACCAAAACTGGCTCTTCAAGAGTGTTACAGATCCACACCCCTCTACAACTGATGTCACTGAGATACTTACCTACTTTAAATCGAGACTAGTTTGGAGTCAGTGAATCCCAAAGTAAAACCCCATTTTTTCTCCATCTACCACCTATGACACCCAAGCAGCTAAATATGGATAGAGAACACAGTACTATATTAACTAACACTCACTAAGGGCTTATTCAGGAACTCTGGTAGTGTAGTGCCTAAGGCATTCGACTGCTAACCAGAAGGCTGGAGGTTCAAACCCACCAGCCACTCCTTGGAAAAAAGGTTGGGCAATCTACTACCATAGTGATACCTCCTTGGAAACCCAAGGAGGGGTCGCTATGAGTCAGATCTGACTCAACGGCAGTGAGTTTGAAGGGTTTATTCATTTAGTAGTGAATGGATGAGCCTCACTTTAAATTCCTAATCCTAAGTCTCAAATGTACGCTGCTGTACAAACCTTCTATCTTTCTCTAATAAGTTTGCTTTGCCATTCTCCAGAATGACTGTTTCATACTTTCTCTTTATTCAAACCCCAATATGCCCTTCTCAACCCTCTCTCAGTTAGCCTAACACTACTTTGAAAATATAGAAATACTTTAAAAGGAATTCTGTCACTTCCCAACCACCATTACACTCGCATCTGTGCACATATAATCTATCTTCCTTTTTGTTAATATATAACTACTGTCCTTACTGTACTCAAAGGCCAAGTAATATTCTAGATTTCATTCCTAAGGCCTTCTCAAAGATGATTCACCCAATTACCTTTTTTCTTTACTGTATCATCAATTTCTCCTTCTCAGATGTTGCAGCTCTTTCCCAGTCCTATTTTGAGAGCCTTTTAGCCTAAACGGACTATTACTAAAGGTGCGTGGTAATGTACCAAACAGTGTTTCTTTGCTATTCATAAGCTCCTACTATTGTTTATACTATAAAATCTTATAAAATAAAATTCATTGACTTTAAGTAGAAAACATGATCAGTTTAAAAAAAAAAATTATCTATAGTCATGACCACCACAATCATGACATAGAAAATTTAAATTACCCAAAAAAGTTTCTTCATGATCCTTTGTAGTCAATCTTCTTTTCTGTCTGCAGCCCCTGGCAGCACCAATCTACTCTGACGCTTTATTTCTGCCTTTTCGAGATTTCATACAAATGGAATCACGCAGTATACTACCTTTTCTTTTTGATGTCTTTCTCTTAACATAATGTTTCTGAGTCTCATGTATGAACAGTTTATTCCTTTTTTTTTATCATTAAGTACTCTTCCATTGTATGGATATATAACAATCTGCTTATTTGGATTTGGGTTGTTTTCAGTTTGGGTAATGAATAAGCTGCTACAGCATTTGTTGACAAGACTCTGTGCAGATGTATGCTTTCAGTTCTCTTGGGTAAACACCTAGGAAAATGACTGGATTGTATGGTAGGTGTATGGTCCACTTGAACAAACTGTTAAGCTGTTTACCAAAGAGGCTATATAATTTTTGCATTTTCAACAGCAATGTATGAAAATTCTAGTTGATCCATCTCCTGGCCAATATCTATTGTTGTTGTTGTTATGTGCCGTTGAGTTGAAACTGACTCATAGTGACCCCTCCTTGGGTTTCCAAGGCGGTATCACTATGGAAGTAGATTGCCCAACCTTCCTTGCGAGGAGTGGCTGGTGGATTTGAACTGCCAGTCTTCTGGTTACCAGTCAAGTGCCTTACACACTACACTAGTGTTACCTATTTATTTATTGCTTTTCTAATAGGTATATAGTGGTATTTCATTGACATTTTAATTTGCATTTTGGAGCTCTGGTAGCATAGTGGCTAAAAGCAGTTGACTGCTAACCAGAAGGCTGGCGGTTCAAACCCACCAGCCACTCCTCGGAAGGAAGGTTGGGCAATCCTACTTCCGTAGTGATACTGCCTCGGAAACCCAAGGAGGGGTCGCTATGAGTCGGGGCCGACTCGACGGCACATAACAACAACAACAACAAGGACTAGCAAGATTGAGCGTTTTTTCATGTGGTTATTTAGCATTTTAAGATCTCAGAAGAGTCTATCCAACTCTCTTGTCCATTTTTTTAAAAATATGGCATATGGTTTCTTTTCATTGAGTTGTAAGACTTCTTTTATGAGCCCTGGGGGAGCAACAGTAAAGCGCTTGGCTGCTAACTGAGAGGTCGGCAATTAGAACCCGTCAGCCACTCTGCGGAAGAAAGATTGTTGTTGTTATTTGCCGTTGAGTCGGACCCGACTCATAGCGCCCCCTCCTTGGGTTTCCAAGGCAGTATCACTACAGAAGTAGGATTGCCCCACCTTCCTTCCGAGGAGTGGCTTGTGGGTTTGAACCACCAGCCTTCTGGTCAGCAGTCAAGTGCCTTAGGCACTATGCTACCAGAGCTACTGTCCATGAATACCCCAAGCTCTTTTTCCTACTCTAGTAAGGCACCAGCCATCACACTCACATCTAGTGCTGGTGTACTTCATCCTCCCTCCTAAAAGAGATCACTACTGACCTGATCCTTCAAAATTTAAGAACTGGAAAAAGAAAACAAATTCTCACAGCAAAATTAAAATGTGCCATTAACTATCTACTATTTGCCAGGCACTTAAATTTAAACTAAAATACAACCAATCAAATAAAAAATAACAACTAATCAACTCACAAAACAGTAAAATGTTGCCTCAGGAAAGATACACAAGAACCATTTAAGAAAAAAGAAATGATAAAGTTGGGAAGTTGGTAACAACTAATAAAATAAAAACTATTTTTGGCACAAACTTGCAAGTTAAAGAAGTGTTCAAATTCTTTATAGAAGTCTCCTCATTGAATGGCTTGAGGACAGGATGGAGAGGCAGTTTCCATTTTAAACCCATCAGCTTCTCATAGAGATACTTTGAAAGCAGAAACTACTTAATATTTGCAAAGTGTTTCGTGATAAGCTCAAAGTAGAATGTTAGTCATAAATCAAAAAAGCAAGCACAGAGTCACAAAAAAAGGTCAATGTCTGAGGAAATAGTCAACTAATATTAAGTCTCTTAAGCAATGCTAACAAGAAAGGTTTATAGCCAGTATTAACATGAACCTTTATTTTAAAAAATTATTTAAGATGAAAACCCTGTTAACTAAAATTCTTGTTGCACATAAAGAAAACATTGCACAACTTACGATATGTACTGTGGATTTCATCTATTTCCTTTTCTGTTTGGTCCTTTGTAAAAACCATGATCTAAAATAATACAGAATAAGCTTAATAAAACAATTTTAAGAAAGACAAAAATGGAAATGATTATTACTTTAAATGAGTAAACTTTAAAATCTCAAATGTGATATTTAACAGACAAAAGTAATCTCTTCATCTCTGTTTACATGGAGCTCGCAAAAAATAATTCTAGTGTATTTCCCTTGAGTGTTTTCATAGTTAGTATACATTTCATTCATTACTTTTTTCTCATCAGTACAAAATATAACACTGATTCCACTATAATATATGAAGAATTAACATGACTAAGTTTCCTATTTTTACTTTTCCATATTAATATAACAAGAAATACTTGAGAGACTTCTGGAAAGATGGCGGACTAGGCAGAAGGATTGCACAGACCCTCTTCAACAAAGAAAAGGGAAACCAATTAACACAGACACAGAAGATAATCATGGACCCATGAGCCTTGAAGGGAAGGATACAGAATTGGACTAAACCCCAA